TCATGGCTGTTCATGGTTCCACAGTGGTTTTCCCATCTACTGGTTATGATGGACATGCCAACCTGGTGGCGATAGAGAAAGAGAAGTATGGAGTCATAAATTCTTAATTCATTTAAATTTTTAACCTCAAAAGAAGACTTTTTTTATTAGAATATAATTCTAAACCTTCCAGAGATCTCACTTTCTCTTTAGCCATATTGAATTTATGTTGTCATAAATAAAAGACACAGGGACAGATAAAGAGGACAGTCATGAAGAATTTGGGTCAAAGTTCATGTGTACACTATGCATATCTGGAATAACAGATCTGAGCTGTATTTATTTGATTCAATTGACAGAAAATGTACTGTTTACACAGGTGTACGTTTGTCTACGGCACCCCCACTATGTTTATTGACATGCTGAGTCAGCCCGACCTGGCCCAGATTGATTTGTCATCAGCTGAGGGTGGTGAGTCAATCAAACTTTTTTAAATCTCAAAATCTACTGCTAAATGGAGGTTGTGATAGATTAAATTAATTTTATCAAGATTTCTGTGCAATCAAGCAGTACATCCTCCACTTTTATCAGGGTTCTGCTAAAATCCTATGTTTTGTTTATGTCAGGCATTGCTGCTGGTTCACCTTGTCCTCCTGAGGTCATCCGTAAGGTCATCAATGTCATGGGTATTAAGGAAATGTTGGTGAGTAGTTAATGGGATTGTTCATTCTCGGTTAAAAAACAAGCTGATAATAATTGTACAGTCGTGGTCAGAATTATTGGCACCTTTGGTAAATTTGATCAAAGAAGGCTGTGAAAATAAATCTGCATTGTTTATCCTTTTGATCTTTCCTTCAGAAAAATCACAAAAATCTAACCTTTCATTGAAGTGGCAGAAATCACCTGTGAAATGATTTTCTCCATTGCCAAACACATTGGCCACAATCAATTCTAATGTGCAGAAAAATATTGTTGAGCTTCACAAATTAGAAAGTAATTGTAAGAAAATAGCCAAAGCATTGAACATTCCCATTTCCCCCATCTGGACAATAAATAAAAAGTTCCGATCAACGGGAAATGTCACAAATCTGCATGAAAGAGGACATGTGTCTATATTGTCTTAAAGGGATAGTGCACCCTAAAATGAAAATTCTGTCATTAATTACTCGCCCTCATGTTGTTTCAAAACCATAAGACCGTTCATCTTTGGAACAAAAATGAAGACTTTTTTTCATGAAATCTGAGAGCTTTCTGTCCCTCCATTGACTGCCACGCAACTGAGACTTTGACACTTGACCAAAAGTCCATAACAAGATTGTAAAACCTAATCCATATGAATTGAGCTGTTTAGTCCAAAAACAGACTCAATCACTTTATATGATGAACAGATTCATTGAATTTAGGCTTTTATTTAAATATAAAAAAAATCATCAACGCACACATCAGTTGTGGTAAACTGAAGCTCAAGAATGTTCACTTGATGTGTGAGAATCAATGAGGTTCATTCTCGAAGAACCTGCTCTATCGAACTAAAGCAGACCTTCGGTTTATGCTCGCTGATCAATGTTTTTGTCAATAAAAGCCTCTCAAAGAGCACCTACATCATCACTAGTTGTTAAGGACTCCCAATCACTTACTGTGGTATTCCGCCATACAATATAGTTATCTACTTTACACGATTAGAAAAGTGCAACGTGTTGTCTTGTGTCACCATTCTAGGTCGAGTTACTCTACTCGAGTAACTGTATTTGAATAGGGAAAACGTGGAGGTGTTTGGTCACTTCTCTGTTTGATCCCTATTGAATGAACTGGGCTAGTTCAGTGCTATCAAAGTGTCACATACTGAGACGAGAGAGGTATGCATCAACTCGTCTTAGTTAAGGGAATAACATAGTTTAATGTGAAAAAAGGGTGGAGTATCCCTTTAAGAAAGTACACCTATTATTTATATATCTAACTCAAGCAGACATTCCATTTTTTTGTTGTTGCTATAATAGCATATAGTGACGATAAACTCTATTCTTAAATTTTTTATACATACATTTGATATAGTTTTAGCTTTAAAAATAAACATTTTACCCATAAAGATAATCATATTCAAAAAAACGTGTACATTTACCCTCAAAGATGCATAATAAAATATTCTGATTCGTAAAACAATATCCATAGACCAAAGAACTGTATATTGACGCAAAACTTAGCCAATGCATCAAGTCGTCCTCCTCATCCTCCCAAAAAACTTGCAACAGGGACTCTCTTCTATCTATTTGAATCAAGATTTTTTTTGTTGCAATATTTTTTTTAAGTTGAAATATTCTGGAACAAATATGAATCAACTGTAGTTCTATACATTTTTCTAATGTAATCCTTCCACAAAATTGCATCATTAAATTCATCTTCCCAAAACCAGCAGGTTCTGTGTAGAAAAAGTGCAGTGCCTGTAATATTTAAATTCCAAATATATATTATTTTATTTATCTTTACACCAGACAACCATTTTAGGCATCTTATTTGTGAGAGACAAACCATCAATTTATTCTTCTTACCATTTTGCAATTTTATTTTCCGAGTTTTAGGAATAGCAATAATCAGCTGGTTGAATTGTAACTGATCGAAATAAAAGGCCAAAAAAATCTCCAGATAAGTGTAAAAGGTCATTGACAAAAATTAACCCATTTTTGACACATTCCTTCCACAACAATGGCTTGTCTCAAACCATACTGTTTGAATTCATCCATGGTATCTGTGTCTGAATATCTTGAATATCTTGAATCTGATATCTGGAGGGTGGTACTGGAAATTCAACCAAGCTTTCAGTACATCCTTGAAGAATGGTGATAACTCTTTTAAACTGTTTTGAAATAGTTTATCAATATGTATTGTTGTTAATTGGTAAAAAGGTAATATATTGTTAGAGAGGAAGGAAAATAGTTCACCCAAAAATGAAAATTCTGATTAATTACTCAGTAATTACTCACCCTCATGTTGTTCCAACCCCGTAAGACTTTCGTCCATCTTTGGAACACAAATTAAGATATTTTTGATTAAATCTGCGCTGGATCACTCCATTGGCTTCTTAAGGGATCTAAACTTGCTGGCCCAAATGTTATGAAAGACATCGATAAAAGCTTTATCAAGTGACAAGAATACTTTGTTAAAAAGTATTAAAAAAAAAAACAGTAAGTGCTGACAGGATTTTCTTTTTTGGGTGAACTAACCCTTTAATAAAAATGTGTCTGATATACAGTATGTTGATCACTTGACTAACAGGATGATTATAAAGAGTCATGACAAGAGTTTCATGACGACGTGCATTGAACTTTAAAAATCAGCAATAAACAACAATCCTGGTTCTTGATGGTGCTTTTAATAATGTATAGTGTCCAATTTTTGTCTCCAATAAATCTCTGAGGTCTCTGATCTCTTGTCAGGTGTTCTCCAAACTCATACAGGCATTATAGGAGAAAACTCAGAGCTGTTATCTTGGTAAAAGGAGGTTCTAAAAGGTATTGAATAAGATGGTGCCATAAACTGTGTATTAGAGAAAAACATTTCATAAATGAGTTTTCCCCCTATTTTAAATAGTTTTAGATATGTTTATTTATTTATTTATTTTTTTAATGAAAAGTCAAAATCATTTAAAATGCAGATTTATTTTTATTGGCTTCTTGTTCATATTTACCAAGGATGCCAATGATTCTGACCAGGATTGTACAGTATGTATACTACATGTCAGTATCACTAGGGGGAGACAGATTTTCACATTAATAGCTTAACTGCAATTTTGATATTTTCTTTCAACCTCTCTGAAAAATCTGATGATAATCATGAATGGTATTAACGCATTAAAAAATAATCACTAATAGAACAGCTCACCTTGTCTGTATTAAACTGAAATAAAGTACATCAGCTTTCACTTCCAAGAAAATAAACTAAAATATTCCCCTTATATTTAAGTGATGTACACTAATGTTCAAAAGTTTAGGGTTGGATTTTTTTTTTTTTAATTCATATTTTCTTGCCGTGGCTGCTTACCTTTGATCAAAAATACAGTAAAACAATTCCATTTCTAATTATTATTCGTTTTGAATACAGATGTGCTGCCTAATATTTCTGTGGGAATCTGGGAACCATGACACATTCTCTGATACAGGATGCTTTGATCCAAAAGAACAATAATTTATAACTCTCTTTATTTTTTAAAAGAATTGTTAGGGAGATTTCAGCTGAAGAATAATTCAAACTGTATTTAGTTCTCTGGGCTACTTTCTTTCTTTCATACACTCAAACTTAATAATAATAATAATAATAATAATAAAGAACCAAACAAGTAATCCATGTGATTTGCTCCTAAGTCTTAATAGCTTTGTGTGAGGAACAAACTAAAATGAAAGAAGATTCCCTGAAAATATTTCACTTTTTGAAACAAGAGCAGTTTAGACATTTTATTTTTCACAAAAGAAAATAGTCATACAGGTTTTAAGAGCAATGAAGGTGTAGTAGATGATTACCATTTTCATTTCTGGGTGAACTATTCCGTTAAGAAATGGGTATGGAGGTAACGGTACTACTGTTTTTTTTTAAGCACACACTGCACAATCTTAGTCCATCCACTTGAAATTCATAAAGTTGTTATTGCTAGTGCTTTATATATCTTTTATTGAACATGAGTACATCACAGTAACAAACTGACACCATTACAAACGGATACCATTAGACTGTAGAGCTTCCATTTGTCTCAATGTTTTAATACAAAAAAAAAATATACCTTACCTTACCTTACTAAAAGTTACCTGCTGTTCCTAAATCCTTCTCTTCTGGCACCATCATCATCATTTCTTGATTTTGCATCTTTATCTTTAATGGCTATCTTTAATAGCATCTTTAATGGCTAATCTTTGGCAACCAATCCTGACCACTCTGTCTAGATTCTATTTTGTGATAATGTCAAGGGGTTTTCAAACATTTTGGAGCCAGAAACCCCTTACAGGGGGGAAAAAAAATCAAGGACCCCTCTCATATTTATAGCAGTGATTGAGCACAAAGTTAATGTGTGAGACAAATGGTTTCCACCCATTGTCCTATGCAGGAATTTCTCAATAGCCTACTGAGGTCCCAAAAGAGATCTTGCTAAAACAATATGTTTAATAGGTGTGTGTGTGTTGTTAAATTGAGCTTATATCCACTGTAATTAGCTAAAACACATACAGTATATCTGTGTTAAATATGAATCCATAATGTTAATCTCATGGGCACAGGATGCTTCTCTTGACCTGTAGCTATTTCCTTTACCAAAGCTGAGCTTTAAATGATACTTTGCAAACTAATTGTTTCAGTCGTTTGTTTAAAACTTCTATCTAAAACAGCTGTTTAGTTTAGGCCTACATCTTATTTCGCAATTTATGCCGCAACCTACTCTGAATTCATCTCCGACACAAACATTTTGACATTGACGAGCTGTTGTTGTTAGTCTGTTGAAGCAGCTCAGACGAGAAGGTCAGATATCATCGCGATGTACAATATCCTTGCTGCAACAAATTAAGTTAATACTTGGCAATTATTTCACAACTTTCATTATATACTTCAGGGACCTCAATTGTGGGTGCGGTCCTGTTCCTATGCACTTTTATTTTGATAATAATAATCAAGCTTCTAATATCAAATCCAGCAGTGCTAGAACTGACATACTGTGCACGCACGCGAGACTACTTGGAATTTTTTCCTTCGCATTGAAAACAAAGGACTACTCTTAATTATGGTCATATAGATAAGACAAGAGTACATCATTCAAAACGGTAAAGTGTCCATTTTTTATTTGTGTATAGACTACATTATAAATGACTAGAAAAAATGGGTCAAACACAGTATTTGTATGGTGTTCCTAATAATAGGAGTCCACGTTTTCCTCGTCTATTGTGTTAGACGTTGGTCAGAGATTTGAAGAAGAGGTCAGGTCATGTCACATCTTGAATATGTGTCAGTTTTAGTCATGGTCAAGATCGGTTTGTCTTGTTTGCAAAGCTTCTCTTACAAGACGTTGTGAGATGCATAAAGCTAAGGAGGATCTCACAATGAGGAAGCGGGATCCTCAGGAAGAGCTCTGCTTTGATTATAACACTGTGGTGGTTATATAATATTAAGTGCTTCTACCATGAGAATGGGAGTATGACTTAAAATATCATAAAATGAGAATCTGTAGAGTAGATAAAGTTCATTCTGCAAGAATGCCTGCAAAGCATGTTACATCTTTCTACATTTTTATGCTGAAAAATGTAACATACAATGTGCACATTTATAATAGTCCCTCTAAAAAAGACTGATTTTATTTTTGATGTAGATATAATTGGAATTATAGGTTTTGTCATTGAAGAATATTTCAAACTTACCCTAGATTAAGTCTTTGTCCTTCAGCAAGGCACTGCTGGGATTTTAAATAAATGCTAAGCAATGCAATGTCAATCCATTCTACCAATTCTCATTTTATGGAGAAGAGTGTGCTCTGTTCTATGGTGTGGAAAAACTAGTCCTGTGATGATGGATTTACCGCCAGGTTGTTTGAATTAAAAATAGACATTACCATAACAGTGAATACTAAAGGCACATTTCATATTTGTGAAAATTTCACTTTGCAGATGTACCCAGCTGCTCCTTCAGGGTGTTTTGTCAATGTCTGTGAACACATGTATGCTATTCATGTTGTTTAGTATGAAGTGAGTCAGCGCATTTATGTCACACAAAAAAAAGAGTGAAAGAGGAAATGGACAGTCCCAATGTCGCAGTCTGCATTGCTTTCCTTTTCTGCACATTGAAGTCCTGACACCTGGACAGGCCCTGTCCTCCTGAGGGAACATAAAAATAAGTTTGCCAAGCTTAGTTTTGGACATCTAATGTTCTGCACATAGTGCCAAAGCCAAAATGGAAAAGTAAAAACAAACTCTAAAGAACAAAAAGAGCAGGAAGGATCGATTCGAAGGACGTAACGGACAATATTTTACCACAAGGCAGTGGCCCAAACCCATATCCTGACCAGACGATATTTTACCACAAGGTAGTGGCCCAAACCCATATCCTGACCACAATTATAGTATTACCAGTAACTCTTTTATGTTGGAGGAGGTAAAAACGCATACGATTAGCATTAGCCTCTTGATTCTCTTGTTTAAAAATGCGACTTTAATTTCTCACAGAATTTACTGGAAGTCAATGCTTTAGAATGAAGTGATTATATTATATTATGTAAATGCAATATAATCACTCTTATGGCGAAGGTGCATAACAGGTACTTGGGACCAGGCTTTTCCTGTCCCAGGCCTTTCAAAACTTTGCTTAAATGATTTCATAACTAATTAGCGTTGTTTATCACATCCGCAGTGGCCTCTCTGGCCATTTAAACAGAATATCTCCTGATGAAAGAGTCTTTATAGAGATCATTGGAGAGCAGTGGTGTCTTGCTATTTGCACCACAGAGAACCCTTGAGACTAGTTAGTTACTCTGTTTTTTCTTCATCATTTATTTACATTTGCAAATCATGTGGAAAGAGGCTAGCTGTCATACTGAAGTCTGTGATTAATGTCTCATTTTTATGAGCCTTAATCCTGTGGTCTCATTTACAAGACCTCTGTGGACCACATAATACTTTGGGTCTGGATATTAGACCTCAGTTTAGGCTGTGGGTCTCAAACTTGGAGGATTTGGTTTTGGCTATGGTGTAAAGCAGTCTTGGATTAACTGTTTGGAACTTGCGTGTTCAGTTATAAGGATTACTTCACAGGCTTCTTATTTTGTTATTTGGCTGTTGGTCTCAGCACTCTTGCAAATACTTCTAAATATTTAAATTTACAATATTTTATAAACCGTATTATACACTGCCGAGCCGAAAAAAAAAATGGTGTTTGGATTCTCATAGGCAAATGCTTAAGATTCATTGTTGCAGTGACTATGTTTGGACTATGGACAATAGTCACTATGTTTGTTGCAGTGAATATGTAGCCATGTAGGAAGCCACATCATGGCCATATTACAGGATGACAATGTCAAGATTCAAAAGGCTCAAAATGGTTTGGTGGGAGCATGAAGACAAATTTTCACACATAAATTGGCACTTCTTAGTCCAGACCTTAAATTCATTGAATGTCTTTGGGATGTGCTGGACGAGACTTGACGGAGTGCTTGACTTATGCATTGCCAATACAAGATCTTGATCTATTGATGCACCCCTTGATGGAAATAAAATCACAACATTTATTTCCATCAACAGGTGCATCATTTCCAGCATGAGTCAAGCATTCTGTAAAATCTACTTCAGCACATCCCAAAGACTTTCAATGAATTTAAGGTCTGGACTCAGAGGTGATTTTTGTTAATGCAATGTAATTTCAATTGGTGTGTTGTGAAGTTGTGTGAGTGGAATTAACAGGGCTGCTCACCATCTCAGATTCGTGGTCCCTTCCTGGTCCTCTTTGCTTTGCAGCGGGTGAAAGCAGTGCTCTCTCTTATTTGCTTTCCTTTCTGGTTTCCAGGAGAAGCACAAACTGCATCAGGGCGATTGGGGCTAGTGTCCATCCATCTGCACAAGAAAATCCAAGCATTTAAAGCAAACCTATAGCACTCAATGTCAATTACTGTTTAAATAAGTTATTCAAATCTTATTAAATATTAGAAAGACAAACATTTTTCCCCTTTAGAATAACATGCGCCAATGAATTGTTCACAATATTACCAAAAGGATGTATTTAGAAAGCGATTTCATGTTGACTTTCAATGAAGCCATGAAGTAAAAAATGGAAGGCATAGTTTATTTTTATTACTGCAGCAACCTTAAATAGTTTTGTTTAAAGTGGTGTTCTGGGTTTTTTCTCTTACTTTTTGAGATTTGCTAATTGGCAGGTGCAGCTCCAGGGGTTGTTAAACAGAGTGAGGTTCTGGAGAGTGCTAAACTCAAGGCTGTTCGGCAGCGATTTCAGCTTGTTGTTCTCAAGATGCAGAGACTTGAGAGCCGTCACTCCCTCAAAGGCAGCATTGGAGAACTTGATGGGTAGAAAGGACAGATATACAGATGATAACATGTTACATGTTGCTTCTGCATTTAGAATATCTTAGCAATTAGCATTCAAAGTCACTCTTAATATCTGAAGGAGACTTGTGGATGCTAGACTGAGGGCTCTTTTTCCACATGAAAGGCCCCTCTCATGCCGTCCTCTGTGCCAGAGCTTATGTAAACCTGTCCACACTCTCCTTCCAGCCCTCCATCAAACTTCATAAGCGTATGCAAGGCTGCTAAAAACTTCACCAAGGTGTTAGACGTACTGGTCCGCTTGGTGTCTGCTTTATAGGAAAACGACGGTCGAGAAGCTGAGACAGTGTACACACAGTGTCTGTGGGTGTGTTATGCAAGCTTAGAAAAGATGCACTTATTGAAAGGACGTTTTGGAAATTTCCACTCAGAAGGCAAGAGATGTGGAGAGTTTGGTAATTTGAGGTGATAGAGGATGGATCATTTCACTTTTTCTGTCTGTCCACTCCTCCCATCGACCTGCTCTTTTGCCAGAAATGCCTGCAAAGGGCTCACTTGTCCATTCAGGTGAGGCAACAGCAGCCTAAAAATACTTCTCTTCATGGGCCATGGAAAACCCTGTTATTATTTACCTGTCTGCTAACCCTTGCTGACCTGTTTACATGGTTCCCCAAGTGAGAGGAAAAAACATGGCTCTCAAAATAAAATTCAGCAAATAGACTCTAAAATTATCCACATGTGAAGGAAGAGTGGTTATTTTTCCCCAACTGCATGGGGCTATACTTGTTGATATGCCTTTGCCCAAGTCTCTGTGTGTTTATATATCTATCTATATATATATATATATATATATAACAATTATTTGAAAATATTTTGGTCAATAATGAGATAGTTGGCACTGGTATCAGTCCATGTGGAGATTCTGTGGAAGTCAGATCAAAGACAAGGAAAAGATAAATGTATCTCTTAAACACTTTTATTGTCCGTTTAGTGATCCACAGTGGAAAATCCTGCTGGAATAGCACATGTGCATCCTGACATAAAGCACATGTGACCTTATTTAAGGCTTGAAGGGAATGGACAGAATATCAGGAGTATCTTATTAAAATAAAACTGGAGGTGAAAGTCTCCAGCACAGGTCTGTTTTAGCCAAATACCACTGTGTTTCAGTCTACAGTTTTGATTCATTCCAATTGGGTTGCAGTACATTTGCGTGGCCAGCTCTGATGGGATGTAAAGTTTGTTTGCCAATGCTAAGTTTTCACAAAACCCAAGACAAACATGCATATATTTAGCCACGATTTTAGAGGCAGGCATTTATGGGGAAAACATTTTGGTTCATAGTCAGCATCTTATTTTTTTTCTTAAGTGTTTAATCTTCAAAATAACTGCTATGTCAGACTTACCTTCTCCAGGCTCATGTCATTTAGATGTAGCTTCTCCATGTAGCGGCCGAAGCTCCGGAATGCGTGGTCAGGGATGAGGCTGAGAGGGTTTTTGGACAAGTTGAGTTCCTCCACGACACGCAGTTTGCTCATAGCCAGAAGAGGGTATGTGGACAGCTGGTTACGGTCCAAGGTTAGAATGGCCAGGTTCTCCACTTCATCAAGAGAACCTGGCTGTATGGAGCTCAACTCGTTTCTGCTCAAATAAAGCCATCGGAGATCATTAGCACCCGTGAAAGTACCAGGCTGCAGCTCTCGAAGCTTGTTGTTGTCGAGCTGAAGGGTAAATAAGTTGACCATGGGAGAAAAGATGCCCTTCGGAAGGATTGTGATGTGGTTACCGTCCAAATAGAGATAGGTCAGTTCGGTTAGGTCCTCAAAAGCACCTGGTTTGATGGTGCTGATCTCATTATTAGACAAGTAAAGGTAGATGAGCTTCTTTACCCCTTTGAAAGCCTGGCTGGAGATCTCGCGGATCTGACAGTGCTGCAGATGCAGAGAAATTAGCCCCTTCATCTCGCTGAAACCCCCAGTTGGGAGACTTCCTAAGTTGTTCCTTTGCAGATTTAGGAGACGAGTGGCCTCGGATATGCGGGGGATCTTCTTCAGTCCGACGTTGTCACAGATAACGTGTTGCAGGTCCCCATGGCAGTGGCACTGGCTTGGGCACTGAGTTGGTGCGGCAAACACAAAAGGGACACAAACCTGTAGACACACTAGCACCAGTAAGAAGCTGAAACTGTACATGATGATGGAGTGTTGATCAGTCCACTGCTTTAGGCTATTAGGTGTTCTTTCTGCTTTACTCAGAGAGACGTTGGCAGCAGGAACATATACAGACTGCAAAAGTGGTCCACACAACCTCAGAGTAAAGAGAGAGAGAGTGTGAGAGTGGAGAGAGAGGGCTACATGTGAGCTAGAGAGTGAGAGAGAGATAGAGGGGTGTGTGTGTGAGTCAGAGAAAAGGAGGGAAGAGAGTTGAACTCATAACAATCACAATAATCACTTAACTTACATAGCCATTGCAAACTTAACGGGGTCATATGATGTTATTTTGAGAGTTCATTATTTTGTTTGAGTGTAATAGAATAAGTTAACATGCTTTAATGTTGAAAAAACATTCTTTTTCACATATTGCACATTAATGCCATACCTCTATTCCCAGTCATTGGTTTTATCGTATCAGTTTGAACCTGAGTCAGATTCTCAAACTGCAGATTGATTGGAGCTAACTTTGCAAGCACGACTTGTGTACACCCTTACTTAAGAAAAATATATGGGAATATACTGTATACAGTATATATGCAATTATTACATATTTCAATATACTGCAATATATACATTGGCCATGTTTGGCTATATATTGATACAAATAAAAATATTTTTAATAAAAATGTAATTGGATTACAATATTATAATATTCATAAAGTTTTATCCTTTATTGTCTACATATATTGCACATACATGTTCCCATATAAATGCGAATTTATTGTACACACGTATATGCACACATTCACAGAATGAGTTACAATCAGTGGTTTAAACAGGTTTCTAGTTCCCAGCATGCTTTGCTTCTGACTGTTAAAGTAGAGTAAATGTTCAAATGAACTGTTACTTTGTTCGATATTAATAGGGGGAGATCGGTATGTGTTTTAAGTTGTATTATTTTGAATTTAAAAGGGTTGCTGATATGTGTGAGTTTTTGGGGTTACCATTGTGAAGAGTAGAGCATAAAAGAGTAGAGAGTAAAAATAAGACTATTTAAAAAGCAATGGCTGTGCTTTTTAGCACAGCGATAGTCTCTTTACTAAATATTTTAGTACTGTACTATTGTTGTTAAGTTTAATCTGAAAACATTAAATGTATATAATGTTAATAATTATAAAAAAATATAAGAAATGATACATTATATATTTTGAAATGTGTGTGTATGTACGGCATGAGTAAAATTTAATTTATACACGTTGTACCATATCTGATCACATATATATCATATTGTATGTAATTTCATATTCAGTAATACACTTCATAACATATAGATGTATAAGTAAATATATTGTCTCATTTTTCAATATATGAAACCGGCAATTACTTATGTATTTTTTAGGGGTGTAGCAATATATTGTGACACAATATATTGCAATACAAAAATACAATACGTATCGTGGATAGTGACAATACCTATCGTGGTTGGTCCCCCCAAAATAAAAAATTACTGTGTGAGAAATTAAAAAAAAAATGATAGTATTATAGTTTAAAAAAAAAGTATTAAACTACTATATATAATGTATAATAATGCAATGGGGGAATATTTGTGGGTCCTGATAATGCCAAATGTCTGATGTTACAAGTAAAAAGTGACATTATTTTAAATATATCTAGTCAGTGAAAGAGTGGAAGCATATTCATCTAAAATAATTCTGTATTTTCAGCTTTCAGCTTTCTCAAGTGTCACCATTGTCCTTGGGTTACAAGCACCAAGTCCAAGCCTATTCATTTAAACCCACAATGTAATATCAAATTTAGCATTTTAATCAACAGAAGATTTTTTTTAGTTAACCTTTTACCATATGTTTTAGAGTATTGCAATAATATCGTATCGTGAGTCCAGTATCGTATTATGTATCGAATCGTGACATGAGGATATCGTTACATTCCAGAGTATTTTTCAATGTACAGGTGAAACTCGAAAAATTAGAAAATTGTGGAAAAAGTTCATTTATTTCAGTAATTCAACTTAAAAGGTGAAACTAATATTATATTATAAACTAATATTATATTACTGATATTATGTATACTCATTACATGCAAAGTGAGATATTTCAAGCCTTTATTTGTTATAATTTTAATGATTGGCTTCAGCTATGAAAACCCCAAAGTCATAATTAGAATATTGCGAAAAGGTTTTCATAACTGTAAGCCATAATCATCAAAATTATAACAAAGACTTTAAGTAACAAAGTCTCATTACTTTGCATGTAATGAGTCTATATAATATATTAATTTCACCTTTTAAGTTGAATTGCTGAAATAAATGAACTTTTGCATGATATTCAAATTTTTCATTTATTAAAAGAAATATATTTTCTTTGCGTAAGAGCAGATGGCATGTCCTCCGTAAAATGAGCTTTACACAAGTGAACTTTTGGGTTGTACTCCCTAGGAACATTGTTATAAACAATTTTCGGAAGGCCAAACAAAGAGATTTTGCTTTCGCAACAAAACCCCTTGACATGGCGGCAACACTAATTCAATTATGCCTCGACTTCTTTTCTTGAGCTTTTTAGGCAGGTCTGGATCAGTGTTTTGATATAGAATAAATCCAGTTTAATGGAAGTTAAACTCATGTTCTGTGTTATGGGTTGTAGAAAAAATGTGGATATATTTCCATGTATGTTTATTTTTTTTAAAAAATAAATTGTTTTTTACCTTAACAAAACATGAAATGTTTTAAGTGCATGTTCGGTGTAAGAACGTTCAGACGTCCAAAATTTTATTTTTGTTCCTAGTCTCTCATTTCATTGGGTAACTAATTCGTGTGCAGCCAGATCTCGTGAGGTTAAGGTGAGACTGTGTGTCGTGCCAGACAGTTCCATTGTTTTTGGTCAGAAGAAGGGGAAAAAGGAGCCACTCCCATATGGCGAGTGTTTTATAACATATAATCACCACCAGATGTTTGGCTGGTATCACATCACAACAATGAAAATGGTGGTTTTTCTTTTGTCTGCATAGGAGCGTTTCATTTGGAGAGGCACATTCCTCTACATAAATGTCTCCTTTGATTTCAACTATGTACAGGATTCAGTATAAAAAGGATAGAAATTGAATATCACTGTTTAATCACCTATTTTTTCCCCACATTCAACAAAACATTTTATCTTTGTTCCTCTTTCTTTGGGTCAAAGACCTAAAATAGACCTCAGATCTGTTCATGAGCGCCATTTCTCACGTTAGGTGGAATCTAGTGTTTGCTTAACAAATTTAACATTTTATCGGCAAAGTGTAAGTCTTGGTCCTTTCAAGTCCACATTCACACCCTGCATTGTGCAAATTCTGTCCAGCACATATCTAGTATTTGGCTAGTAGTAACATTGGCCTGTTATTGATATCTATGTATAACAATAATAATTATATCAAGTGAGAAAAGGTGTAATAATGTTTGATACTAAAATATTTTAAATGGCCATTTGAGTTAAAGAGCCCCTATCATGGATTTTTGAAAATAACTGTTCATATGGTGTGGAATATAGCTCTAAGGGAATGAAAACATCCTGCAAAGATTTATATCTGAAAGTGCACAGTATATAAAGTTATTGTCTTTCAAAAGAGAGAGTCTCTAGACTCTGAGTCTATGAAATGAATTGTTTTTGAAACGAGTCATTAGCTGGTTCGTAGTGAAGTAGATACATATTGGTCGTGCCCAGTTACTGCGCGTGCAGACGGAAGTGTAAACTTGAAGTCTACACATTCAAATACTTAATCATAGCATCATGTCGAGAAGACGCTGTGTTCTACAATGCAAAGATAGTTCAGCCACTTTGTTTTCATTTACCAGGGACGAGCATGTGAAGAATCAGTGGTTAGAGTTCATATTTGCAACAATACCACAACAGTATAGCCCGATTGTGTTCTCATCATTTTAATTAATCGTTCAAAAACATAAATTCAAAAGTGGATTCGCAAGCGGTTGTTCCTGAAGGAGGGCTCAGTAACTTACTTACCCAGTGTAAATGGATCAGGTTCCTCCTATGAATCACAACCTGTAAGTATTATTAATAATTGTTGCTTTTATGGGTTTTGAACGGTTTTGTTGCGTCGGGGCGCGAGACAATAAGTGTGTGTGTGTAAGTTACGCTCAGCGCAGCTTCTAGGTCTCCAATGTCAATTTTTTTTAAATATGTGAAATGTTTGTCGGTGTTATTGGAGTTGTCATAAGGAATAGAGCGTCTTGTAGTACTGCAGTGCTTTATCAATATGTTTATGCGTTATGCTAACAAAAAAAAACGGACTGGGTCTGTCATCTGACCAATCACCGCCGATTAGCGTCACGCAAAGGAGTGGTTTGGAAAAATGAGTCGTTGTACGAATCATTTGGGTGTCGGTGAGCAAATCAGTTAAAAATAAATGCATATTATAAGACAAATAAAGTGTTTTTTTATCCTTGCAAGCATGTTAAACTGTTTTTGGGAACTCCTAAAACAAAAATAGGAACATTTCAAATGCTATGATAGGGGCATTTTTCCCCTTTACTAGTTGATTTCAAAAGCTCATGACTCTCTTAAAATCACTAAAATGTTCCAAACAACATTTTAAAAGTCTGGCATGTCACACCTCAACAGCTGGCAGCTCATGTAATTCAGCTTGGTAAACACAAGTTGACATCCTGTGCTGTGATGAGGTTATGTCTTTGCATGACATCATTGAGGAATTGTTTCCAGGGCACATTATCTAAATGTTTTAGCCCAAAGCGATACTGTATGGTGAGGAAAGCTTGGGTACAAAACAACAGCTGGAGTGCCAGTTCTCAGGTGCGCACCACATACCTCACCTGCGTCCCAGGCCTGGTGGATTCAGCGGATTCAGCTGTCTGCTTGCCTTTAGGCTAGTGTTTGGAAAAGTTTTAACAAAAGGCCTTTACTACATACACTGGGCAAAAAGAGTGATGTAAGCACACGGACTGAAATTTTAGTGAGTTTAATGGCGTCATGACGTTAGTTCCATAAACCATAACATACACACTCCCATATCTGAGCTTCAAAATGGTTAACACTTTACTTGAAGGGGTGTGGATAAGACTAACATGACACCTTCATAATCATGACATGACATATGTTATGAATATGAAGGAAGTTTTATGCATGTTTGTGA